GTTAATATCACGGGATATCACCCAACAATGACCTCATTTTAAATTAGTCTTTAGATTTTATAATGTTTTATATTGGTCTTCGAACAATGATTTCATTCCAAATTGATCTCTAAATTTTAAAATATTGTATACCACTAGTCGAACTATCAATATTATTCTATTTTTATCATTCTAAAGATGTGTCGTTAATTTTACTAATTTTTTAAAAGTCGTGAAAATTGAACTTGTGATCATCTAAAAAATAATTTATCTTTGAATAAACTAATAATATTTACTAATTTCAACCAATAAAATTCATATGTTAATAGAAGGATCAAAGCGGAATAATACTAATAATTTAAGGACTTATATAAAATATTTTAAAATTTAAGAATAATTTAAAATAGAAATCATAATTTAAGGATATAATTTGCTCCATCACGGAGCCACCCATTCAAATCCAATCCCTTCCGGATAGGAATAAATTTGCTCCATCATTTTGTATGCTTATCTGGACTCATTTCTCAAAAAATAGTTGAAACTTCTAAAATTGGAAGTAAAAATTACACTGTTCTTAAAAATATTTAAATAAAGATCAAACATTTTAAAAAAATCAGTTCATAGGTTGAGTTCAATCAAGATTTTTATTTCGAAGTCTGACACATTAAATTTATTCTTTTTGTGGACGATTGACGGCATTACTCATTGTTTTTGAATTGTTTTCAAATTAACCTACTCACTAAATTTAATAGGGCAAACTACACATTTAATACATAAACTATTAATTTTGGTACGTTTTAGTATTTAAACTTTTTTTTCAAAACTATAACTAACTTTTAGTTTTTGTTTCATTTTATTACCCTATTTTTTATAATTTAACGGATGGGCTCGCCGGCTGTCGCGTCTACAGTCACTAACCGTCACATCCATCGGTCGATGAAGCCCAAACTTTCCAGACAACGCCTTTTCAACCCTCTGAACGAGATTTCGGCCTTTGTTTCACCGCAAAATGCCTCAATATTCCCAAATCGACGATGGACTCTTCGATTTCTCCATCCTTCGATCTCCATGATCCACCGTCCGATGGGCCTGAAACGGGATTATGTTGGTTGACTCGTCATTCTTTCGTGGTTCACCGTTCGGATTGGTCATCAATCCATCAGAGGTATGCCACATCAGCATGTCCGTTAAGGTTTTAATGCTGGTGTACTAAAATGAAATAAAAACTAAACAATAAGTATGCTTTTGAAAAAAATAAAAATTTAAGTATTAAAATAGGCAAAAAATAATAATTTAAATACTAAATACGTAATTTACTTAAATATTATGCCAACTTTAAAAACTATCCCATCATATGGTCATTTAACAAAAAGTGACACAAAATTCGATAAGACGTGTAACAAAAAAGTGTTAAAATTCGGTAGTTGTATTTTACCTATGAATACTATTTTATTTTCAAAATTTTGATATTTATTTGATTCGGGTAAAAAAAAGAAATTATTTGAAATTTAATTCAAATATAATACTTGAAATTAATATGAAGATTAAACAAGTTTAAGTGTTAAAATAATAAAAAAACACTACAAAAATTATAAATATACAACTTAATATAAAAAATATCTAAATTATATATATATTTCATTTAAATGTCTAGATTTATTAAGGTCAATGTAGGTATCTTACATGTTATCATTTTAAGTGCATATGTCACAACGACCATTAAAAAAATACTTCAATCACTTAGAATGTGTGACACACGTTGTGTTTAAAAAAAAATTTAAAAAAAAATAATTTTTTTTTTTAAATTTCATTATTAGAAAAAACTCCAAATTTCTCTAAATCTAAAAATATTCTCGAAATCTTTAATCCAAAAGTATCGCCCCCACTCATTGGTTATCCCCGTCACTGTCGTTTGCATACTCACTCATCATCGACCATCACCCGTAGCCTCAATCCACAAAATTCCTAAACCCAAATCCCTAAATTCAACCCCCTAAAATCTCTAAATCCAAACACACATTCATCATAATTGATGGGTGAGCGATCGGTGAGTGAGTGAGTGATCGTCGGTGATGACGATGGTTAACGATGAAATTGAAGATCTTAAGATATTTTCTAAAAAATTGAAAAAGTTGGGATATTTTTTAAAATATTTATGAGTTTTATTTTTTATTTTTGAAAAATAAAAGAAATAAGTAAATACGTCACATGTCAAATACTGATTTGTCAATCAATTTTTAATAGATTTTTTAATGATCGTTATAATGTAGGTAGTTAAAATGATAATGGTGTAAACCTTAGACACCTTCATTAACTGGAAAAAATTAATTATTTAAACAAAAGAATGTAAAATTTGAACAAATTTTTTTATATTAAGCTTAAACCTACAAGTCCTTGATCTGAAATTGTGCCGCCATTCTTATACGGTGGTGTGGAGCCAGTCAAAGTAGCCGCTGTGAAATTTGCAGGTTAGAATATTATTCCAAAGGATGGAAAGCGTATAGAGTAATTGGCGTCAGGATTCACGAGAAAGAGTACAATGAATCTGCACCTCTATCTTCTCACCAGCATCCAAAATTGTGGTCAAATTCTTTGAGTGAGTTTAAGTTTTTGATGAATTAATTACTTATTATTCCAAAAGTAATCAACTCTACTTTGATCATTGACAGATCATTAACCATTGAGTTGATAGAAAAGGCAGACGTTTAATGATTACTCTTAAAAGGAAGTGCAAAACAAAATGAGATGAAAGGCTTCACACAAACTCATCTTTTATTTGTTTTTGTGTCGAAATGTTTATTTATCCTTTGGGCTGTACAAATAACAAAACTGAAACATCCAATCAAAGTTATTCCTAGGATGGAAAGTGGAAACCATTCGCTGTACAAATATTACTGTCCACTGTGCCTGGATTCCACTCTCGATAGTGAAACATCCGTCGTGCACCTTCATATACAATACTATCAATAATTTATTTTGACCGGATTAAAGTGGACTGTTCCCTCGTCTTTTTAAGCCCAGGCCCAACCCCCAACTTCTCAAGTGTACTCTTAAACAAGCTTTAAGATTGTGCGACCGGTTTGATACGTTCATATCTGCGGTAAAATAATTTATTTTGACTATATTATTAAATTTGCTTTTAATATTGGAATATTAGTTAAATGGTAACGACTTTTTAAATGAGAGGTCACTCTTCATTCATTGGAATTAAAGAATTTATAGATACGTTCCACCCAAAATAATGAGTTAAGGTTATAAGCTTATAAATCTATAGTCTGATGATGGAGTCGATTCCATGATCATAAGTTTATTCTATATTGAACCAAATCGAAATAGGATTATATACATTTTTATTATAAGAAGGGGTCATTTGAGCATATCTTAATAGATATTATGTTTACGTATGAATCCTTCTATTATTACATTCATTTTGGAATTAGGAATGAGAGTAATCAGACATTCCTTTTACATATCTCATTATTTGGGATCATATTCACTTCATTTCTCTATCTTCTTTTATTAAATTGAGAAATAAATAGGTTTGATTGTCTATTTTTTTAATATAATCTTAATATATATATATAAGACATCTACCGGATACTTCAAATAAGAGCAATTGAATGTTCAACTCTAGCTTTTATGATATGACTGATTAATAGAAATACTCTAACATATTCAAATGTTTTTTGTATCGATGTTTCTTCTTACGAATTGACTAATTGTCAGTTACCTTTCTAACCCATTTAAAAATCTCTCGATTGAATATCGAGAATTCAAATTACATATATTTTAAAAAAATGAATCCAATATATGACTTTTGAAGTACAACAGATCTTTAATATTATTATTATTGATTATTTGTAATTGAAACTAAATACTTATATGTTTATTATAATTTTACGAATCCAATACATGAGTTTGATATTGACACAATCTTTTTTTCTCGACATATGAAAGGATCATCTCATATATTTGGTTTAGCCTTTCTCATTTTCTTTCGATGATCACACAACACAAGTATAACTTGAATTTTTTAGAAGGGATTTACCTTCATGTCATAAGGTAAATCCCTTCTATGCTTATGCTATATTTAAAGTTTAGATCCACTAAAATTTTACTATAAATATTTAGAGTTATAATTAATTGGCTCCTAATTATTAGCATAATCCTAACCATCTCTATTAATATCGTAAAAAAATTTGAAAATATAGCATGAATTAAGTGATCTCAGTGATTAAGGAATTTGTTGTTATTCTTTGAGTTTTTGGGTTCGGGCATTGCGTATGTAGGAATATGAGTGTTTATTGTCAATGGGTTGAGAAGTCTTTGAACATATAATATATCTTGTATTCCTCCCAGATTTACAATATATATATATATAAATTTTGAGAATTTATGCATAGGAAACTAGGGATCAACAGTGCACACTTCGGGTGCCCCTTCCATTTTTCTGTTCACATGTTCTTCTTGTTCTCCTCCAATCTCTGCTTGCTTCTTCTTCCAAATTAAGAATTTAAATGTGCAAGCATGGTCCAATAAGGCAAAAAGGTGCCAATTCAGCTGCCAAACATGCCACCTTAGATTTATTGTGACCTGAGTAAGATCAAGCTTATTAATGGTTGAGTGACTATTTTGTTATAAATAAAAAATATTAATGATCATAACATAATTTAACTTTATTTTCTACGATTCAGAGCTGAAATCTGGAGAAAATGTTTAGATTTTCTCACGTCATTTCGTTTTCTTTCTTTTGAACTTTGAGGTTAAAATTACCGCAGCCATAACATCGTCAAGTTATCTAAATCCATTGGTTGTAGTAATGTTTAAATCATCTTTTCTATTACATTATTCAGAGCACATTACAAAAAGGTCATTATTTATTATGGCGGTAGGGTGCTGAATTTGATTTCAGTATGGCCAATCCCCCAAGCAGCTAAAGCTAAGGTAGCTTGTAGATGAGCATTCAATGATACAACTTTAAATAACAAAAAAAAAAAAATATTCAGAACAATCGAGAAAGGTTCCTGGAGAATCATAGGTGTTTTCATTTCTCTTACATTAAAATTTGTTTGATTGTTTCCCCTCTTCTATCTTATAATATTACACAGGTTTTTACACAACCATGGAAAACTTCAGTTGGATCACAAAATAGATACGGGAAAGCTTTTCCGTCGTCTTACCCCTTGCTCTTTATTCATTGGCATATGCCACGAACCTCAAACAAAGCTAACTACCAAAACAGTTGAAGAGAAACGAGAGAAGCTTTTAATTCTAAAACCGTTGACTGAGATCACTAGAGCCATCTACTGTACACACTCACCAGTATCCAGTCAAAACAACTGATTTGGGCAGTCACTTTGCCTCCTCTGCTCCATCACCACCACCATACCCACCAGCTGTGCTGCCCTGTCCATCAGCACCAGCTTCAGAGTCATCTTGCTTGTTTCCAGCACGTCCATCATTTTGGCCCGAAGCTGGGGAGACACCACCACTGCTGCCACCTCCAAGACTAGCCTTAGCATACATGGGATGAATGCCATTATTCGGCCCTCCAGGTCTGATTCCCATTTGTCCTTGCATAGCTTGTTGATGCTGCTGTGGATCCTGCATTTGATGTGGGCTATTGAATTGCCATGGCACTTTTTGGGGGGAAATACCAGCTTGCTGCACCATTGCAGCAGCCTCAGGATGTTGCATAAAATATCCTCCTGGCTGCATTGCAGGATTTGGTGCCATCTGCAGTGGTTAAAAAACATGAGACCATGCAGTGTAACCGCAGATAGAATTGAAGGAACTTCTTACTTTTAATACTCACCTGAGGAGGCATTGTACTTGTTGGCGTTGTTTGTGGTTGAGCATCCGCAATAGCAGCTAAGTACATCAAATTCTTTTCAGCTGAGCTTGATACCTAAAGCATCAAAATCTTATAAATGCATAGCCCAAATATCATGCATTAGCATATGTTCATTTTTCAATATTCAGGTTCAAAAAACAAAACAAAAATCATGTTTCGATATGCAAAATCAAACAATTATTTATGCAGAAAAAAAAATGCAAACATTCAGCATTGACATTCAAATACGTTCATTGCATCAATTTCTAGGTTCATAGGTTGATAACTTCCTCTCTAGAATGTTCACCTCGTAGGCACAATCTTGATGAATAACCACAAAGATCATTGATTATCAGTGCCACCATACAATATGCTAATGATCAACAAACAATAAATATGCTAATATAAGTTAGTTTCTATCCTGAATCCTTGATGGTGCATTATTCAGAAAAACGAATATATTCCTACATTTGTAGGTTCTGCTAACCACAAGAATACAAGTTATCCGGCCTTCTACATATGAATGGATCAAAAACAGAGAAGTAAACCGCAAGGCTCTTTGTCCCCAAGGTAATAACATCAAAGAAAAGCCACTTACAACATAAAGCAAATATATATTCTAAACCAAAGATGTTAATTTAAAGTGCTCATGCATCACTAAGGCAGATAAAACAAAGAAAGAGAGATTATAAATTACTTACTGGGCACATTCAGCAAGTTTTCCAAGATTCTGATTGTCCATAATTGCCAAAATAAACTACTTGTTCTCATCAAGGTACTATTAAAATGTGAAAAGGAAATCCACAAGAAACCAAAATAGAAACAAAACGGTTATATTGAGATAGAACGCTGAAAATCAACTCGACACAGGTAACTAGACAGATGATGATCCCCCTCCCTCAAACATCAAGCACGATAACTAAAAGTGCTAGATACATCTAATCATTCAAGATTGTGAAAGTCTTTTGTTTTCAACAACTACTAAAAAGAAACCAGTTTAATCAACCCCATAGGAACCAACAAAAAGATTAATTAGATCCCTTGCATTACTAATAACTTCCATTCATTCTCTCTATTTTATCCATTACTGTTACCATAAGCAATTCCAACTAAATGTCAATAAAGGTCCAACAAATTCACGAAAAAGCACAAGTCTTACATCTCCTAAACAGTTTCAGACATAAATAGAAAGTACCATAAAAATGAAAAGTTCCAGGTCAGCATCTGTCTCTATAAGCCTATAAGGTCATAACTTCAACGTGCAAGCATTACCGCACAACATATAAAGGGATACATAAGCGAAAGTAAAAAAGAAAAATTAATGTAAATATATGTACCTTCTGAATTTGCTCGGTGGTGATATTATTGGCCGGAAATGAAGGCATCACTGGAACCATTTGCGGTGGCTGCTTCATATTGTGTGACGTTTTACTTCACTTTACTCCAATGGGAAACCCTAACCCTGATCACCCTCAAGAATCTTCCCTAAAAGAAACCAAAAACAAACCCTAAACCGAAAAATCCCCAAATTTTAGAAGTTAAATGAAGGATATTTACTATGTTTACCTGGGTTCGAGCAGGTGGGTCTAAAACTCTAAATGCTCTTTCTTTTTCTATTTATTTTTAGGAGTTTTTTATGGTAAAAGTTGGAACTTGTAAGAATGAGTAAATCAAATAAATAATTTTTATGCTAAATTATTAACAAAATAATTATTCAATTAGTTTGATTAAATATTATAATTTTTTTATCATATTCTATTTTATTTATAATATTAATATTTAAATTTAAATGTTGTTAAATTTATTAAGAGACTTTAAATTTTAGTTGTTAAAGAAAATGTTATTATCTTTAGAGATCTCGAGTTTGAACATATATTATCTTATAATTGTTTAAATTATTTTAAAAAATTAAACATTATTTAAGAGATTAATATCTCATCTTAATATATTAATTAATAATTTATAAATCGATCATTTATAAAAGGAGTCAAACTCTACTTTTTTTTAAAAAAATTGATTGACATAACTTGTTTAATCTACTTTTTATAATATATTTAGTTAATTTAAATTATTTATATTATTAACTATTCTAATTAGAATGATAATGTAAAATCTTTCTTAATTTTTTTTTTCTGATTCATCATGTAGAGAGATTTTTTTATCTGAAAGAGATGTTTGTAATGGAATTATAAAATGTAGATTGAAAAGATCAATAGGAAGTAATAGGATTAAATCTCAAAGTTGAGTGTAGAAGATGGACGAAAGCAATAATTTAACCTAAAATCAAGTTACTTAATGTTTGTAATGGAATTATAATTTAACCTCGCCCAAATACCATTTTCCCATTTATCAATCTCTTTCCCGCTAATAGAAGTCATCTCTTCACGACGAGCGCGCCTGCACGGAGCTAACTGATTAGGAGATTACCCCAAACACCAATTAACCTAACCCTGAACCCTGGTTCCCGACATATGGAAACGCCTGTTCCCTGCCCGAACCCGAAGATCACTCCCGATCTTTCCCCAAATCGGGATAACTATCCGATTCACTCCCCGAATGGAAATAAACCTCTTCAAGTTTTTCTCTGGTCTCAGAGTCCTCGGCTACTGCATGATCCTCCTCTTCGCCGCAATTGTCGGCGTATCTTACTACGCCGTCGTTTTGCTCACGTGTGGCCCACAGTTACTCCGCGGCGGGTTCCACTCCCTTTTGTCGTTCACCATCGTCATTGTATTCCATGTTCTGGTAAATCTGTTTCTTTGGCAATTTATTTTACCGTTTGTTGCTTTGTTTAGCAACTCTAATTGCATTTCATTTCTCATTTTTGTTTGCAGCTTATACTTCTATTATGGAGTTACATTAGAGTGGTGCTTAAGGACCCCGGTTCTGTACCTGAAAATTGGAGAACTGTTTCCGTGGAGGAGAATTTGGAGGTTGGTAGTTCTTTGGCTGCGGCGGAAGATGGATTTGAGAGAAGATCACGTGGTGTTGGTTATTGCACACATTGTCAGAATGGAAAGCCGCCACGGTGTCATCATTGTTCTATTTGTATGTCAAATTAAAATCTTTAATTTCTTTTTAGATTAAACTTATTTTGTTTACTATTTAAGATCGAATTGAATAAGGGCGAATACCTAGCTAGCTTTGAATGAAAAAAAGGAGGGAATTTGAAATTAGGGATTAATTAGGTCATGGAGAGTAAATTCAGAACAACTAGCTTTATTGAAATTATCTTATTGATATTAAAAATTGCCCTAATAACAATCTAGTGTAGTATTTATCATGAAACTCTCACTCTCTAGTAGAATAGTTATATTAGAACTCATATTAATAGAACTCTCATAGTCCTAATTACTCTCTAGTATAATAATAGTTGTATTAGTACACAGAAGATAAGCTAAAAAAAAGCTAACGTAAACTGATAACAAAAAAAAAAAAACTGATCTAATAATTAAATTAGACTCGGATGTTCCTTTCTCATTCTCCCCTGGTTGAAAAAAATAGCTGCCTCAGTTGCAAAAGTTTTGACCAAAGCCGCAAATATGCACATAGTGTTTCTAAAACCACTAAGAAAGGTCATCTTGACAAGGAGGAAAAGAGGAGGATTCACGTGAATTGGAATACGGTTTGTAGGCCACTGAATTGTGGTGGTCTAGGTGTTCTAGATTTGAATCTCACTAATCGGGTTCTACTGGGTAAGTGGGTGTGGAAGTTTGCCAATGATAAAAATTCCCTTTGGAAATGTGTGTTGTGTAGCAAACACGAGGCTAGTTGCAATACAATGTCTATTAGGAAGGTTACTTCTCCTAAATCTTCTTGGATTTTGAGAGGTATTGCAAATAATTTCTTGAAGAATGACTCGGAAGGTGCTTGTCTCAGATCAAATTCGAAGTTGAAGTGGGGAACGGTAATCCATTTCTTTTTGGAATGATGTATGGGCAGATGAGTTTCCTCTAAAAATTCTTTTCCCTAGAATTTTTGTGCTTTCTCCTTTTAAAGGGGGGAAGGTTGTAGAGTTTGGAAGCTTTGAACGGAGTGGTTGGGTGTGGAATTTTCAAACAAGAAGGAATTTGTGTGATTGGGAGTTGGATCAATGGATGGATTTGATGACTAAACTGAAGGATATTCAACTTTCAAAGTTGGTGGAAGATTTCCTATCTTGGACTGCAAGTGGGGATGGACTGTTCTCGGTTAAATCTTGCAGAAATACTCTTGGTAATGTGTTTGAGAGTAGTGTTTTGTGGTTAAAAGGGGTTTGGCTGGGATTAGCTCCACCTCGAGTGGAAGCTTTCCTTTGGCAGCTTGCTCATCAGAAAGTGGCAGTAAAAAATGAGTTGGTTAAGAGAGGATTATCCTTCGGAGATGATATTTTGTGTCCTTTGTGTAAGAAACAGGAGGAGTCAATGCAACATTTATTTATTTCCTGTTACGTTGTTTGGGAATTATGGAATAAAATTGCTAGTTTTTGGGACTTATCGTTCGTTATACCCCAAGACCCTCCTTCTCTTCTTAGTTCCTGGGGTGAGTTGAGGGTGAACTCGATGATTTGGAAGTTCATTCTGGGAGTCATTTTTTGGTCAATCTGGAAAGTTAGGAATACAATGGTGTTTGAAGGATCTTCTCTTGACAGGCTGTCTTTGTTCTTTATTGTTAGATTCAGGCTTTGTAAATGGTTCCTAGCCAAGTTCCCTAAGCTACCTATACAGGAGGATGTGTTGATTGGTAATCCATCTCTTGCAGATGGGTTTTCACTATCTAAACCTAAAGAATGTCATGTTATTCGATGGATTTCCCCCCCAGTTGATTTTCTAAAGATGAATGTTGATGGAGTTGTTAGGCAAGATAGCTCGGGTGGAGGAATAGGAGGTATTTTAAGATATTGGAAGGGCTGCACACTGTTGACTTTTTCAGAGAATGTTGGTCAAGGAACTCCTCCACTTGCTGAGTTAAGGGCTATAAAAAGAGGCATTGAAATATTTTTGTCATCACGGTGGGAATCTGTTGGTAGGTTGATTGTTGAGAGTGATTGTAAGTCTGCAGTGGAATGGATTCAGGCCCCGATTTTGGCTCCCGTTTTTTTCTCGCCTCTAGTTTATCAGATTTTGACTTTATTCACTGGCAAGGTACATTTAGTGAGGTTGATTCCAAGGGCGTGCAATGGGGAGGCAGACAAGTTAGCAAAGAATGGGATAGGTGAATTGTTAGGAGTAAATTGTGATTTTTCTGGTCCACTGTAAAGGTTTTTAGGGCAGGAGAAGTTTTTAAGTTTTATGTACTGCAGTTTGGTGTAATGGTTAAATCTTATGTAACTATTTATTATTAAGGCACTCTTTTCCTCTTTCCGCTGATTAAGGAGCTTAATTTAATGTTCCATTAATCAAGAAGGGGGTTTTTAACGAGGCCTTCCATTCCTATGAAAAAAAGAAAGGTCATCTTGACTCTTAAAAGTTGTCTTCCATTCATCAACACTTCTCAACCTATGGTGGTGATAACCATTCTTCATATCAATCTTTGGAATAATGATAGAAACAACAAATTGATCAATCATAACATTCGACCAAGACTTCCCCACAAGAATATGATCCACATCCATGGTAACATGACACAAGGCATGATCATAAGGTGAGGTCACTCTTTAAATAATGCTTCCAAGTTCTATCTCTTGGATTTCACATTGAATATGGTGATGTTAACACTTCCTTTTTGGGGCTTTGACTGGGATCCTTCTCGTTACTTAAGAAAGCATCTATTTTGATATCTGATTTGGTCTTATCATCACAACCTCTGATCTTCTTCATAAATTCACCATCAGATGTCTCATTGGTCATGTTGAACATATCAAACCGATCTCTAACTTCTTCAAAACCCTTAACTCGAGCACCTCGATTTGGATGTACATCTTCAGTTTCTTCCAGATACTCATCATAGATAAGTTCTAGGTTCTAACATATCATAATTTTTCTCCTTCACAAACATCTTGCTAATATTAATTCCATCCTTGTTTGTTCAAGGGCATCCACCTATTTCGCCCCCAATCCACCTCATTTTGCAGGGTTTGTGGGTCCAACATCATGAAAGGAGTTTTTCTTGCTCACCAAAACCAGTTTCATCAGTAAGACTACCTTCTGGCATGTCAAACTGGTGGGTACCTTCTAGAGTCTCTGTTCAGGTTTCCACATGTCCCTGTTGTATTAGGAATAAAGCAAAAAAAGGGGTCTGGGATTTTCCAGCAACCAGCTTTATTAAAATCCCATCAATGATAATAAAAGCTACCCTAATAATCTTCTAGTATAGTATTTATATAAAAAACTCTCATAGTCCTATTTACTCTGGTAGAATAGTTGTACTAGAACACTTACTAAGAGTCCTTTACTAATCATATGATCATTTAAAAGAACAAAAAAGATAAACTTAGCTTAAAACTGATAAAAATGATCCTAATAATCAAATAATTAAATTGAACTTGGATGCTCCTGCATCATTAGGGATTTGTTGGGTTTAGGTGACATTGGGAAAGATCGCTACGTCCTTAATTCAAGTAGATAAGTTAAGGGAAGGTTGGAGTGGTAATTCCACTTTGGCAACCTCTCTTGTAGATTTTCTGGAATAATGCTACTGGTTTTAATCGGCATGAATGAAGTATGAGAATGGGTCAAGTTGATAGCATGAAACATGACTTTTTGCATTGTGTTTCTGTAGGTCAAATATGTGTTCTCAAGATGGATCATCGGGTGGTGAATTGTGTTGGTGCACGCAACTATAAGTTTTTTCTTCTTTTCTTGGTAACTTCCATTCCTCTTACATAGTAATTTGTCTTATGGAATAATATTTTAAGAAGTATGTCCCATCTTTCTTTTTCTATTTATGTTTGTCACTTTAGGTTTGTCTTTGTCCAGAGGTTTTTCCGTGGCATATTTTGAATTAAGAGTGCCGTAACTAATCTTACTAGAAAAGATCTGTCAGGCTTGACCTAATAACCCTAAGGAGCAAGGGAAGTTCTGTTTTTGCTATCTCTTTGAGATATTTAAGAAAGAATTTCGGCTATCCTAATACTGTTTTTGCAAATCTTTAACCCCGACAGTTGATTTAATTGTGTAATTAATACTACTAATGTATAACAATGTTGAATATTTCTTCATGCCTTGTGCTTTCTTTTTCCATATCTTCTTGGGAAGGATTAAGTACATTTACATACGGTTCGGCAATTTAGAATATGCATGTAAATGTTTATTTGTGTACTTAAAAGGTCGGCAGTCTCATTCCATTTCCCCCCTTTCTTCCCTAATAAAAAGGGATCATATTGCTCAAACTGAAGGTGGCTGAACTGAATGTTGTCTTCTTATATTTAGACTTGCTTAGAAAGTATGATCTTCTCTGCCCCTTACCTTTCTTTTGAAACAAAGAAAGGAGGCAGGAATGGCCATCTCATCTTTGTTATGTTTCCTGACATTCATTTCTCTGAATAAAAAGCTATATACGTTTTTGGAGACAACACTAGTCACCCTAGTGTTACTGCCAAGTTTTATCAACTTCTTTCGTGAAGCCAAGAATCATTCCGCCTCTCCTTCCAAATCAGCAATAATCTTTTTGGCATTTGGTAAGTTATCAACTCAAGTCGATAAGTCATTTTCAGTTCATCATATTTGTTTTGCATTCTCATTTTTTTTCATCTTTCTTACAGATTCTGTACCTTGATGCAGTTCTCAATTTTTCTTTTGCTCTGAGTCTTGTTTGTTTCATCACCATGCATGCATCTCTTCTATCAAGCAACACGACATCAGTAGAGGTATACCATACGGCTAATATTTTTCAACCATCTTGATTTTGTTTATGGTGTTTTATTTTGTTGCTTAGAGATTGGGTAGGCAGTAACATGTTGATTTTTATGTGTTGCCTTCTTGTTGTTGAGAACCTATACGAACCTCATGCTTTTATTTTAAATCACCACTCTTGAGCAATGATATTATCATTTGGATAGGCTGTGTGTTTGAAGGCTTTATTTGAAAGTTAGTGTATTATATATTACCTTTCTGAAACAATTTTCCAGGTTCACGAGAAGACAGGACTAGTCAGATGGAAATATGACTTGGGCAGGAAAAAGAATTTTCAGCAGGTGAATACTTGCTTTGCATACTCCCTGAGCTTCTTTTTTTTTATTTATCTATGGACGCGAGTACGAGGAAATTTGATCTATTTATTAAGAGATTCATTCGGGGTTCATAGTGGTATAACAATTAAGGCATGTATAGTAATGCTTTGGAAGGGGGATTCAAAGAAGTCACATGATGCCCTTTTTATCTTGACCATTAATAGCTGGTGATGTACCATGCATTAGGATGGTCATGCATATCTTAATCGGAATTGGAGGAAATGGAGTTCGTACTCTTTCTGTTTTTGCATATTCCAACTTGTGTTATATGATACATTTTAACTGTTTATGGTATTTGGCACGAAGAAAAGCTTGTGGTTGTTCCCATTGTTCTCAGAAGATGATTTAGACAACATACCAGCACTTCATGGTCTGGAATTTCCAACGCTTTCAGATGTTGAGGCATGAGCTTTTAATGAGAGGACATATGAGCTCAGTTGTGTATCATGTTGCCACATTATTTATTACCTTAGGTTTGATGACGGTATGTATCTCACAACATAATTGTATTTGATGATAATCGGCATATTCTCGTGCTATACTGGCTTGAAGTGAATGTGAGTAAAAGCTGTGACAAGTTTCGTTGTTATTAAAGTTTGGAAATGAAGAATCCTGTGAGCAACGTGATATTTTAGAGTAGAATGCCATTGGCGATTGCTTGAAATTCGTATGTTTCATCTCTTGGATGTGGGATGTTGTTGGCGACAGTAACAAACGAAATGGAAATAAAATTTTCGATTACGATAAACCCCTACCAACTCTTATCCCTTTAGGCCACGCATGTAGGAAGCTATGTTGTCCCTTCATCAAAAGTCAATGGCGTCCGGCAGATAAAAATATTATATTTTTTGGGGGGAGGGGGCCTGATATATATATATATATATATATTATAGATGGCTTAGATTGGACATTACTCGAGGACCAATTCAACTGCTCGGGAACTGGCAGCATGTCATTCGAAATTATATATACATATACCAATAAGCTATACTTTGGCTTCTGATTTATTAAAACTTGAGGCACTATTTTTTATTAAAATATCGCTTTCGCCATCCTTATTTGCTTTTGAAAGCCTCGCTGATGAGTAATTAAGAATGCAAATTTAAATCGGAAGTAAAAGAACGCAAATATTCCAATTTAATTATGTTGAATTCAAACATGATTAATTTGATTTGATTATAAAAAACTAAAAATTATTCAAATTTAGAATGATAAAAAATTATTCCAATTTACAATAATTGAAAGTCTAAAATAAATTGATTGTTTTAATTTAAATTTAAAATAGTTTGAGTGTTGTTCTTTCTTACGGTTATGGGTTCAAGTAGTTGCATGTGTAGGGTGTGTGCATGTTGTCAATAGTTAATAAAGATTATGAATAAATATTGTAATCACTCGAACTATTAAAAATGATTAACTTAAATCTAAAATCAAGGTCTAAAATGATTAAAAATAACCCCTCTAAAAAATCTATTAAATAAATATAAATAATTTAAACCCAAAATAATCTAAATAAAATATAAGAGGAAATAAAAACAACTGAAACCTGATATAATCCTAAAATTTTAGACCTATATTCACACGTGACTAGAATGGAGAGGATTAAGCAAGACCATGCTATTAATTAAAACAAACACAGAGGGACGACGACCACTAGAGTTTAAAAAAAACAGGGAGGATAATTTTCTCGATAATAATAAGTTATATATATATATATATATATTTATACTAAATAAATGCAAATAAAATTTGGAGGTGGTGTGCCCACCATATCTTATTGGATCCGCCACTAATTCTCAGTTTAGTTTGCCACTTTTGCATTTCAATTTCGTTCTCCTCCTCATCCTCATATACCTGATTTCTCCTACTACATCTTACATTATTTAATCATATGAAATCAAACAAATTGGTGTCCCATCATTATCTCATGCTTTTAATTCACATGAAGCAATTACAACAATTAATCTAAAACTTTAAAAAAGAAGAAGAAGATAAGGCTTAAAGAAGGGTGATCTAGCCTGCAATTCTTGTATTCGAAACAACAAAAAATGTAAAGCTTGAAAAGCAGAATCAGTAGGATGTGGATATAACTTGGCCGATCATGTTTTCTGGGTCATAAACAGATGAGCCATCTGTGGGTCTTACTTCCCCAGTAAAACTGCAAATATCGGAAACAAAAACGGCGAACCAAACGATGAGTGGAGTTACAAACAGTATAAGACCAAAGGGTACCATCCAAAGCTGACTATTTGTCCGATGATACTCGTATTCCCACCATCCCAACATCATGCCTCCGCTCAAACTCACCAAAAACGACCATAACCAAGCTATGCATGTACTCACTATCTTCTCTGATTCCTTCGTCTTGGTCTCCACTCGCTTTTCTTTATCAGAATCCATAGCAACTTAGCTGCAAAACCTGTGTTGGTTTAACGTTCCAAGAAGAAGAAATTAAAGAGAAGAGAAAAAGAAGTCTAAAGAAGCAAGAATCTCATGGCATGGGATCTGATTTTAGATGACACTCCATCCAGGTAAGAGCGACGAAAGTAACAATCAGACGTGGATTCTTTTATAAAAGTCATTATCATTGACGATACTAATAGAAAAAAAGAAAAGAAATTGTGACGTAAGAAAGTGATTACGTTTCGGCTTGTATCAACTACCATAGCTGCATGGATGAATCCGGGAGAAGATTCATTTGGCCTTTTTATAATGGCTTTGTTTTATTGCAGAGACATCATTTTTTTTAATAGTATAAGATGATTATAATGTAATATTTATTCATAATTTTTCTTAGTTATTGACAATACATGCACACTATACCGTTCAATGAATTCATATAAATCATATTTGTATAAACACCCATAGAAAATGATTTTTTTTTTGGGTTAGATTCTATCTATCTACCAAAGGCAATGAAATTGTAGTTTGCTTATAAGCTTGAGTCCGAATTACTTTCATGGTGGAGACATATCGAATTCAGAGATATTTTAGTAAGTGGAAATTCACTTTTGGGACGTGTAGGAGAAATTTAGCCTTAGGATGTAGTGTAGCTAGCGGCTGGAGCAAGAAGACGCATTGAGTGGCTATGATTAATCTTTCCCAGGGTGTTAAGTCATATCTGCAGTTCTTTTTTCTACCAAACTGAAAGTTGTTTGGAGCTATTATCCACAGACGTGGGACTTATAATGCAATGCTTTTGTTGTGCGTTAAATTTTTTTGACACGAGGTTGAATTGCTTGCGTGAATGCAAAGGGAAATGTGATATGAAACCTTATCCAAAAACAAGGAGGGTGAATTAAATAAATGTTAGATACAATTGTGAGAAGGGGCGTGTAAAAATATTTGATTCAAACAATTTGATATGTTTTTCCGATGATTTTAGGTCTGTGTTCGAATAAGATATTTGGATTCGAAAATTTGAATATCTTATTTTTCGATATCATATATGAATCATTATTTTAGTAATTTCATTTGAAGAAACCAATTTGCCAATTTCATTGATATATATATATATATATATATATATATATATATATATTTCTTAAAAAAATAATAAATTTTTAAATGATAGTCTTAAAGTGTGTGATAGAGCCCAAAAACCCAAAATAGCATCTTAGATTTCTTTCACAAATTCTCACAAACAAACATTCTCACAAATTCTTTGAAGTGTGTAACATTAGCTCAGTAAGCTTCTGTTTGGTACTTCTCAAGCCCAATGTTTCTTTCATTTCATAATTTAATTTTGTTGACTGATAATTTTATTTATTAAAAAGTAATATTCAATAATTACGGATTTAAATTCTTATAACCAAAAAAAATTCAAGTTCTTATTATTTTATTACGCCTAATTGGAGTATTTAATCTTTCAATTTTCATCAAATAAGTCTTTTGCTTGACAATTTTTCATAATTAATTATTATCACCAGAAATTGATGATGATATGGTTGTTATTTATTGTTGTAAGCATAGATGATTTCGTTGATGTGATATTACTTTATTTTATATGTTTTAAAAGTAAGAAAAGTAAATCTCTTCAAAATAAAATAAAAATACATAAATAATTTCCATGTTTTAAAATGTTAAATATTAAATAATACCGATAAATTAAAATTTTAAAAAATAATATAAGAAATAAATACTTTAGACAAGTAAAAATATTTATAAATTCAAAAGGTTAATATATCTAGAAAATATATTCTTCTAATATATAGAAGGGATAGGATCCAATTAATGTGTAAAAAAAATTTAGTTTTATATAGATTTAGGATCGTTGGATGAGTGAAAATAGACGACTAAGATTAAAAGTATGAAATGAGAAGATATTTACTGGAAAAAAAAGGAATTAATCTCAGGCATTAAATTTTACTCATCAAACGGTACTAAATATGTGTAAAACTCTTAGTTTTACACAGTGTAAATAGATCCTAACCATATACGAATTTTTTTTTTTTTGTATTGTTTGATAGCATTGTGCAAAACATGACTGCTTTGTTTTAAGTTGACAACTCCATTTTGACGTGAACTTCATTGCTGTATTACAGGTGGGCTTGAAGCTCAGAATCGGCATTTTCCATGGCAGTTATCGTGGGGCAACTTCTGCATGATTTTGCAATTAGTCCTGAAAATTAAATCCTTTGTTAATTTTGGATATCTAATTTATTTATTTTGCTTAAGAATTGCCTCTAACATTATTACCATTTTCACTTTCCACCCCACACTCTCCCATTAACCGATTATATGACACACTTATATAAGATCATGTACATTATCAAAGAGTGCCACATGATAAAAAGAAAAGAGCAGAAGTTCTCAAATTTTTTTAAAAATCAATTAAATCTCTTATTTATATCTTTGACCAAGTTTGACCATATATCTATCAATTGTTGTCGATTGATGTCCCACGTCATTCCATAGTGTTATCAAGTAAAATTTCTGAAAAAATATCAATATTAAATATTTAATTATTTTTAACATTTTTAGAATTTTTCTTTAACATGTGAATTTCATATGGCAGAAATATAATACGTTAGATAAGAGTAATATCTTGGAAAAATTATTAAGATTTAACTATCAAGAGTGGTCAAATGGTTTAATCGATTCAATTTATCTATATGATGGCTTTATTGACTAAATTTTTTAATTTGAGGGTTCAATTGAATACAAAAAAGTATAAGAGCTTCATTAATTTTTTTCTAAAAAAATTGAGGACTTCAAGCACCCTTAAATAGAAAATAAAAAAATCTAAAAAATGTAAATGATGTAGAAATAAAAAATGATATAAAGAAAACGTATTATTTTAATAAGTATTTGGATTTTTTATTTTTACTAATTTTTAGATTTATTATATTTTTATTTTTCAATTTTAAAAAGTACAAATTTGAAGAAGAAAAAAGTATGCAAACCCGCTGGTCGACCACCGCCGTTGTCACCCCACCAGTCGCCACTTACCCACTCATCGACGGGTGTCAATCATGGCTTCAAATCCCTAAACTCAAATCACTAATGCAAACCCTAAATCCCTAATTTCCAACACTTATCTATCCCAACCAATGGTGAGTGGTCGACGGGTTGGTGGTCGGTAGGTGAGTGGGTGGTCGTCGACGGTGGTGGTGGTCGGTGTCGGAATTTCAAGTCTTAGAGTATTTTATGAAAATAGAAAAAGTTGAGGTTTTTGTTGAAAATTAATGAATTTTATTTGTTTTAAAATAATAAATAATAAAAAATAAACCACACGTCAAATATTAATTGGTTGATTTATTTTTAACGGATTCTTTTAATGGTTGTTACGGTGTAGATACCTAAATGATAACAATGAAAACATTAGGCACCTAAATTGATAAAAACAGATTAAACACCTAAATAAAAAAAATCATAGTTTGAGCACTTATTTTTATATTAAGCCTTATAAAAAAAATATAGACAATAGGAATTGGTTCAATCCTTTTAATAAAAGATTAGGTTAAATTTAATTGCAATTTCACAAACCGATAATAATTACTTAATTACAAAGTATCCATTATTTTGAAGTCAAATTTTTTATTTATCATTTTTTATTTGAAGTGTCTATTGATTTAATTTTCCAATTAGTCTAATTAAATCTAAATTAATCTAACTAATTTTTTATAACATTCTTTTGTTAATTCAAAAATTGATCGAATTAGTCAACTTTTGTTCAATTCAATTAACAATTTTCAAAAAAATAATAATTCTATTAACAATTAAATAAAAACAATCAATTAATTCAACTTTGATTAGTTTAATTTAACCACCGATTGAATACTCGTAAGTACCGTGAAAAAATTTAATGATCCAATGGCCGAAATGAAAAGAATAAAATCTATGATCGAAATACAAAAGCCTTAAAAAATTTAATGACTATTGTTGTGGTTTATCCTATTTGTCAATACTAAATTTAATAAACTCGTATATTGGATTTTTTTATAAAAAAAACCCGTAATTGGATGGGCAAGAGAACTAGTTGCAGTAGGAATTTAACGAGGCAAATTTAACATTTGGCAAGATCACATAAATGAAAAAAAAAAAAAAGAGAAAAGAAAGGTTGAAGACGAACTTTGTATACATGAAACTTGGGCAGCTTAGCGACAACCTTCTTTGACCCTCTCCGTCTATTTATTTTTCTCCCATTATCAGTCACCTACAATCCACCGCCCAGTTACTTTCACTTATTTTATAATCATCTGTATCCGTTAATCGATTAATATTTTAGATCGGTATATTATAATGACGACTAATTTATTTTATGAATAAATATTAAAATTTGAACATCTATCCCTTATTCTCTTTTTTCTCCCTCTTGATCTTTCTATTCTATTCTATTTATGGGTTTATTAATACTTTAATCCCTCGTTTATTTATCTAAAATCAAAAGAAAGAAAGAAAAAGTAAAACCCCCTTCCCCATTTCTGAGATTTCTTGCACTTAACCAAAACTCCATGCAAATGGGAAACGAAAAGACCTCCATAAAGACTCAACTAGAGCTTTTCTTGAAAGAAACCTCACAATCTCACATGGTGGCTTAGGCATATTAGGTCCCCCATCAACGATGATATATCAACACGGCAAGTGGGCAACGTATCCTTCAAAGAGATGGCCATACATGGCCTATATTTTAATCATTAATTTGATTTCCCATAGAGTAATCCCTTACTATATTCCTGTGGTAGTTGAGCTATCTATCCTTCCTCGGAACTACCCGCCATTAATTCAACACTCTCCTCTTTCTTCTAGTTATTGCTATATTAGCTCTCCATTCTCTCATCTAATTCCTCACATCTTTTCTCAAGCTAAATTTTCATTTTGGGGTGATTTTTGTTATGGATAAGGATAGTATACAGATGGATAAAGAGAGGCTGACGGCGGAGATGGCATTCAAAGATTCTTCCTCCGCCGTCATCAAAATACGGAAAAGGTTACCGGATTTCTTGCAATCTGTAAAGCTTAAGTATGTGAAGTTAGGCTATGGTTATTCATGTAACCCCGCCACTATTCTCATGGTGGTTTTGATCTTACCACTTTTCTTTGCCACCCTGGTTCAGTTCATCGATCTTAAGTTGGACCGGGTTTTCGAGTTATGGACCAACCAAGCCCTTCGACTTGAGAGCATTGATGCTGCTACAAGACTAGCTGGTTCATTGGTCTTATTCTTCTTCTTTGCTCTCTACTTAGCTAAACGATCCAGGCCGGTTTACCTTGTTGATTTCGCTTGTTACAAACCTGAAAATGATGATCGTAAAATGTCGGTCCATTCGTTCCTCAAGATGACTGAAGATACCGGAGCATTCACGGAGGACACGCTTCAATTTCAAAGACGTGTGTCAACCCGGTCTGGCCTAGGGGACGAGACGTATTTCCCAAGAGGAATAACATCTAGACCGCCAAATCTATCCATGGAAGAAGCTCGAGCTGAAGCAGAAGCTGTCATTTTTGGAGCACTAGACTCGCTTTTTGTGAAAACCGGAGTCAACCCAAAGGATGTAGGCATCCTAATCGTTAATTGCAGCTTATTTAACCCAACTCCATCTCTCTCAGCCATGATAGTGAACCATTACAAGCTACGTACCAATATCAACAGCTACAACCTTGGAGGAATGGGTTGCAGCGCCGGGCTTATATCGATCGAGCTCGCCCAAAGCCTCCTCCAGGCCAATCCCAACACGTACGCCGTGGTGGTAAGCACCGAGAACATAACGCTGAATTGGTATTTCGGAAACGACAGGTCCATGTTGCTAAGCAACTGCATATTCCGCATGGGGGGAGCCGCCGTGCTGTTGTCGAACAAGGCACGAGACAAGGATGTGTCCAAGTACCAACTCGTCCACTTGGTCCGAACCCATAAAGGCGCGGATGACAAACACTACAACTGCGTTTACCAAAGAGAGGATGACAAAGGAACCGTCGGCGTTTCATTGGCTCGTGAACTAATGGCCGTGGCTGGAGAAGCACTGAAAACCAATATCACCACTTTGGGTCCCCTTGTTTTACCATTCACAGAGCAGTTGATGTTCTTCGTTACCCTCGTCCGAAAGAAGATTTTCAAAGCCAAAGTTAAGCCTTATATACCCGATTTCAAGCTTGCTTTCGAGCATTTTTGTATCCATGCGGGTGGAAGGGCCGTTTTGGACGAAATACAGAAGAATTTGCGGCTAACAGATTGGCATATGGAGCCTTCAAGGATGACTCTACATAGATTTGGAAACACTTCAAGTAGCTCATTGTGGTATGAATTGGCTTACATGGAGGCTAAGGGTCGGGTCTCAGGTGGAGACAGGGTATGGCAGATTGCATTCGGGTCGGGTTTCAAATGTAACAGTGCTGTTTGGAGAGCTCTTAGCTCGAGTCCCATGAAAGAGTTAGGGGGTAACCCTTGGAAGGGTGAAATTGATAAGCAACCGGTCAAGGTTCCCATTGCTTGATGTCTCAATCTCCAATTTGTGGCCTGTGGCCTTGTTTATTTTCTCTCTTTTTCATTTATTTTTTCTAGTTAATGGAAATGTAATTACATATACATTGTCATGTTGCTATTGTAATGAACCAAATAAAAATTATAGGTTTCTCATTATTTTTTTGTTTGAATAAGTTAGATTTTTATTGCCCAAGAAAGCAACATATTTATATATGAACACAAAACTCTACATCAATCATAAGAGAAAATGGCAAGATTCAACCCAACTGTTAAGAATATCTAATTTTGCATATCATTATGCATCTTCTTTGAATATTTTAAGATATATTTATAATAATTATTCTACCAACAAAAAAATATTAGTGAAGTCCCGATTTTAATATTTAATATCCGAGCTTATAAGATTTCTAATGTGAGTATATAAACTTAAATATATGAATATTTTAAAATCCTTTGATTCATGTAATATAAAATTTAGAAATATGAATTTCATAATGTAAAATTACCTAATACATTAATGAGAATTTTTCGTTATATCTTATTTAGTTTATAAGGAATGCAAAATTATAATGTTTGATTGAGAAAATATAAGACTATTTTAAAATAAAATTTATCACATTATTATTGTGATATGTTTTTTTAACAAGTTGAACCTCCAATATTAAATACAACGACATATGCTTCTCACATTTGTATCGAGAGTGATGTTATGACGGTGGTGTGCCATTTGAATTCTCAAAAACTTGATATGTCGATTCTTGAGTTCTATTTAGTCGAAGCTCGTCGCTTGCTTCATGCCCACCCCCACCTTCGGGTCAGATATGTTCGTCGCTCTACTAATCGGGCTGCCCACAACCTAGCACAGTTTACACTCTCAGTTCCTTCGCCTTTATATAATGTCAATGAGGCACCAATTTATATTTAGAATGTTTTACTCTTTGATGTCATTTATGATTAAGTTATAAAACATGTTTGCTTTTAAAAGTATATTTATTTAAGAAAAAAATAATATTTTATTTTAAAATTTTAATATATTGTATTGAACTAAGGTATTTATTATTTTTTAATTTATCATATTAAATTTAATTTAGGGAAAAAAATACACTTACCCCTGCAATTTTGGTAAAAGTTTCATTTACCTCTATAATTTCAAAAACCCTTAAGATTAAATACAAAGACAATTATACCTAATTATTATTTATTAATATGTACTTTTTTTTATTTACTTTTCATTTTTAGTTATAAAATAATGAAGATTTAACTAATTTGAAATTATGATCAAATTATGCTACACCTCTTTTTAAAAAATAAAACTATATTTTCATTAAATAAAAAGATAAGATACACCAAAGACAACATAATACCAATATGGAAACTCAAAGGATGTGAAGAAAAATAAAACAAAAAACTTTCATTTGAATACATGCTTCATATTCTACAAAATCCTAGCAACTATCAATAATCTCCATGTCTCTAGTTCAACTTAGACACAAAATTGATGTAGGCATGGAGATTGAGAGAACCAATATGATAGATTGTTTTGTGAATAATTTTAAATGCATCGACTAATTGTCACAAAAGGATATCTAACTATGAAAAACCGTTAACCTTTCATAATCATGAGATGCAGGGACGGAGCTATGTTGGGGCCCAAAGGTCCCCGACACCTGTAAAAAATTTATATATTCGATATATTTAGGTATAATAGTATTTTGGTTTATGTAAAAATAAGTATTCAATTAAAAAATGTAATAATTTATTAAATATTTAATTAAGTAGTGGTCGAACTAAAGAAGAATAATCCCATGTTCTCAAAATTTTTGGTCTAATAATAATTTAGGTCATTGTAAGTTTAAATATTAGATAAATTATGCATTTTCTTCTGAATTTTGAGTTTAAATATCTAATAAGTTATTGTATTTTTTTTAAAAAAAAATCAATATTTCAGCTCGTACTAATATTTAATCCTCGCTCCGTCACTGATGAGATACATCGTGATGAAAGTAACAGGAAACACTAAATTATCATAACGATGAAGAAAATTATGCCATAAAAACAAAGGAACAAATATTTTACAAAAGTAGAGAAAAACCAAACTCTTCAAGAATATGTGAAAAGAACCAAATCAAAACAGAGATGATATTTTGTTTAGATCTGAATAAAAAAAATTAAACAAAAAAAAACGAACAAAAGAGGCAACAACACTTTAAAAGAAAAAAATAGATAATCACTTTAATTATGTTAGATTTCTTGTGTCTCAACTAAATTTAGACTCTTATGTTAAAAATGAATAAGAACTTAAACTAAATAATAATAAATGTTTACTTTGCTCATGATAATCATTACTATAATATATGGGTAGGAGCACGTTTATTTTGATATTCTTAATCATCTACTTTCAATCTTATTTAAGGGATTTAATATACCATCTCACTAGTCCAACTCAATGTTGATTTGCTTTCAATCTTACTTAAGGAATTTAATGTATCATCTCACTAATCCAACTCACTGCTAATCTGCTTGTAAAGTTTTAACCTTAGTATTAGTTTACCTTAATAATTCATATTGAAAATGATAGCATTACATTATCTTTATTTTTTTGCATAGGTCTATAGTGATAGGCACCTATTGATATCATGACAACATTTTGATCTCAATTTGAAATTAATGGAAGTTCGGAATTACATGGATATTAAGCAATCTTAATTAGTTGCATGGAAATTAAGAGCTAAGGTGGAATTTGGTGAAGCGCCGCCATTAATTGTTCTTAGCCGTAGGGATACTAGTTCCATATCCCTGTGAGAAAAGCTGCTTATTTTTTATGCGGAAAGGTAACGACTTTTTTATCTTAAGCCAAACAATAGATTAAAACCCCAACGCCCTAGCCTTCGCTCTTCCAGTCAACGTAGTCATGATTAGTAATGGACGAGCCAAAAAGAAGGGGCGGTCACCGGCGACGGAGAAGATAAACAACAATGGAGGTGAAGATGGATTTGGGGAAGAAAACATATGAAAAAAAGGGGTAAACTGATATTTTATCCCTGAATTATTTTGGGTTTACAAAAAAAACTCATGATGAGTAATTTATCTAAATTTGTTAAAATAAAAATTAAATTATTTTACTAACATATCACGTCATCAAACTCACAATATTTAACGTCTGAGTAACTAAATCTTATTAAAACAATAACACAAGTAAACAAAATTTATGTTTTTTAATTCTCTGATCATAAATTTATAAAATTAAAACAAAATAACCAAATCTTTAGTTTACCCAATAAATAATTATAAAAATTGCACATAAATTATAAAATGGAAGTAGAATAAAAGAATAATTAAAAGCTGATGTTTAGAGAAATGTAGCCACGTTACAGTCGCACGCGCTGCAGCTCATCGCATGCAGGGGCCGACCACCCAGCATTTACCTACATCATCTCACTTTAAATAATGCACCATCCTTCCCTGTCCACCCTCCGATTTCCCTTCACAAATCACCATCTGGCGGCCTAAAACAAACCATTGTGATGCAGCAACAAAAAGGAAGGCGAAGAATAATAATGGAAAGCAATGGGCGAGATGCATGTGCGAGGCTCTGACTGCCGAGTTTATTTTTTGCAGCCTTCATGTGGGTTGGAATTGGATGGATATTACTATATTCAAATGTTGTTAATTGGATCATAAATCATCGAACGTAATTACTGATAGAAATGAATGTTATTTTTTTTTAAAGTTTTATATTCAAATAACTATATTTGTAAAAGTGTATATATTATCAATTATTAAAAAAATTATGAACGGATATGATCTTGTAATCACCGTTGATTTGTCTCTATACCATTCTCCAACATCATTTTTTTACATAAAAGAAATGGAGTAAACACGGTTTGGCCCTCTTGATTAGTAAGTAGGATCTACATTGGATCTCACCTGAATCGCCCCATCTATCCTCCTGAGGAGAAGTTTGGTTTCAAACCCCGGTTCGAACAGGAGAAGTACGCCATGCTAATGTGCCTTGGATGATCCACATCTCAGGGTCAGGCGCTGATGAGCACATTGAACTATCCATGTGGCTGAGAGCCCTCACAGCCCAGGCACAACGACGTAATTATCAGGGGCGCGCTCTACCACTGAGCTAATAGCCCGTCGTGAGGGCCTCCCGCTGGGGGCCTGCTATGCCAAAAACGAGAGAAACCCCATCCCTCTCTTTCCTTTTTACGCCCCTATGTCGCCACACGGGAGGGACCTGAGGGACTTGGGAGAATTCAAATGAGACATGCATTAGCCATTAATTACCAATTTGAATCAAGTGAAAAGCATAAAAGCAAGTCTCATCACATCGTCTCTTCCAAGCCATTTTTCTTAATCTTTACAAACTTTGCACCTAATAATCATGACTCAAATCCATTCCTTAGTCTTTTGTTTATGCATTTCTCTATATATTCATGATACATCCACATATTCCGTAAACTTTTCTTTTAGGAGGTATTTGGCTCATAGAATACAAAATTATTTTTTAAATAGGGAAATATGTATTATTTTGAATTAAACTGGGTACTAAATTGATAAGATTTCTAAATATTATAAATTTATTAAATTATTTTAAATTATGACCAATTTGATAAAATGTGTAAGTTTTTAATATTAAAATTGTTATTATAACATGTCATGTCATTATTTATATAAGTTAACGATCTAACTCAACGGAGTGATCAAAATAGAAACGAAATGTACAGTTATATATATATGATTTTTTTAAATTAATAATTGACAAAAATAAAAATACAAAAATAGATGAATGATCAAATAAGCTGTTTACTCTAAGTTTTAAAACAATGAAATAGGGCGTAAGAAAGGAAAGAGTTTTGACCAAACTCCAATATCAAGACAGTCCAAACTAGTTTACCTGGTAAAAATCTATACATCCCCCCTTCCCCACACCCCATAAAAAATTAATTAAGATGATCTTTATAATTTTTTTTAAATTACTATATTAAATACAACATCATATAAATAAATTATTTATTAATGAAATTATACGAATCAAACGTCCTCGATGGTTAGAGAGATGATTATTATTCTTAGAAGTTTTAGATTCAGATATGACGTTTGCATAGGTATTTGAGTGTTTATTGTCAAATAATTTAGAGCATTTTGAACATATACTACCTTATGAAAATAATTTTATGTAATCTTTATAACAAATGATTTTTTTTTTTTGCTTTAAACTTATCATCATTCATCCTTACCATTTTAGTATGATAATGGTTGACAACTTGGGAGCAAAAAAAAGGATAAATGAAGTCATTGGCAATGAAGGTTGCTGTTAATAGGGACGATTGTCTCAAAATGTTAAGGCATGTCAGTGGATAATGTTTAGATGAAGTTAGGTTGGGTTTTGATTGATGGACAATCGACAAAACATTATCATACAAGCAAAGTTAACGTTGTCAAGCAATGCAACCTCATACGTGTTATTATTATGATCACTGTTGGTTTTAATTTGCCATCATTTCTATAGAAGAAACTTCTTTCCAGGCTTTTTAATGAATTGGAAGGATCACATGTCAGCATTCAGAAGCCATGATATGATACAAGCATGCATGCTTGACTTTGAAACCAGTAAAGGTATACCCTTCAACAACCCCCTTGGATTCCAATGTCTAAAACACATGCATCTGTTCAAATATCCCAAAGATGAAAGCCAAAAGATATCTTTGAGAAGTATCAGTCATGAATGATGAACAACAAAAAAGCAAAAGAACATATATAATATAAGTTCATGGGTGAGCTATCCGAGGTCACCCTTTTACTTAACCGATAAATTTGAATTCGGGTTTGAAGATTCAAAATCAATCTTCTGAACCACTTTACAAATATGAACAAGACTGTCATCGGATGCTCTCTGCAACCGAGACAAAATCATCTAATAATTTGTGTTCTAAGGTAGAATCCAAAGCCAATATTTAGTTCCCACCTCGTGCACATACATACATACATGAATGAATATGATTTCTTCTCCTAATGCTAAACAACAACTAATTCAGACTTTCCCTACCGTCCTAGACCAAACATGTATATGATGAATCGGTCGGTGACTCAAATGGAGAATGAATAACAGTTAGTGGAGCGAGCTTTACATCTAAAATGCCTGTCTCATGAATCAACAACCCCCTACTGAAATTCTTGAGCTTCACTTCTTCTTATGCTAGGTGATCAGGCATGAAGCATCATTCTTTTGAATCAATAACTTTGTTGTATTCTTTGTTATTCAATTCTTTCTGTTATCTCTACCTTTGCTTCCCTTTCGAAAGATATTGACTGTCTATTGTAAGTCACCATATCCCAGAACACAGATTAACTTGAGGGTTTCTTTTCAGTAGGTGTCTCAGAAGCTTGTGAAGGACCTGTCTCCATTTCGACCACCCTAGTTGTTACTATAGTTGCTGGGGTTAGTGGTTCTATTATTGGCGATGTTTTTTCTGTCTCCGATGATGACATTGGTGTTGTTGTCGATGTTGCAGGCAATGTAGTTGTTGTTGCAGTTGTCGTCTCTGTAGCAGTCGCTGCAAATATTGTTTGAAGATATATACTTGAATGTTGCATTAAAGTTCTCTTGCAATAATATTACAAACCAAGAGATAAACCGATTCAAAAATATAGCAAACATACTCCGAATCTATCAAGAGATCGTGTAAAATTATCACCTGCTGTGGTTGCTGCCATAGGCAATGAAGACGGAAGCGATAGGATCCCGGTCGAGCTATACTGGTGAGGCAAATAAGGATATTGCAACATTTGGGGATATTGAACACAAAAACCATGAGCTTGGCTATTTTGTCCATGTTGAGCATAAAATGGATACAAATTATGGAACATTCCCGGTGTTCCAGTAGCGTAGTAAGGTGAAAACTGCTGACCCCCATGCAAACTATAATAGTTCTGCAAAAACACCATGAAAATTTGGCTAACCAAAGCAATGTCAAGCAAGTTTTGTACATTATTTCTTATGCTCAATCTCTGTTTGTAAACACTAACCAAAGGATAAATACCGTCCTGTGAATATCCCGTATACCTGAAAGTAAACAATCACCGAATGAAGATGATGGAAGAAAAACAAAAGAAACAAGAGTACTAAAAATGCATATTAAAAGGAAAGTGCAGTAACCCGAGGCTTAAACCATTTGGTTCGTTGCAATCAAAGTTAGGGGTTAGAATCGAATTTCAGTTCTACAATAAATTAACTCACCCGTAAGCAGAGTATGGAATTGAATATTGACCATTTGGTTGTTGGACGAATGCTGATGAGGAACCATGATACACAGGTGATGCCATCAATCCAGGTGCAGGTATAAACCGTCCACCTCCTGCATTTGTTTTCAAACAATCTGTTTTAGATCCACATTTCATTTTACAATATCACATTGAGCAACACAAACCAACACGAAATGTTTTCCCAATATAGAAAAAAAACACATCTAGAGAATGAACAAAGGAGAAAAAAAGGGGGTGGGGGATTTTGAACGTTTGAAATATTATTATCAAACAAGAACAACTTTTCGTCACCCAAATATTGACGTGAATATTCACCAGTACCATTTCAACAAACACCAATGCTACTAGAGAAAACGAAGAAAGAAAGAAAGAAAGAAAGAAAGAAAGAGAAAGTTACCGTGTTGAGGAGTTAGTGGACGAGTCTTCTGTGCACCAAATGAAGCGAGATTGCAATTTGCCCTCCTTCCATCAATGGTAGGAGAAGGGTTTTGACATGCTCTCATGGCTGCATCTGGATCCTTAAAGGTAACCTGGAAACCAAAAATAATAAAAAGATAATCACTTTTAATTTTTTGTCATGTAGAATGGGATAATACATATATTACAAAAGGGATCAATAAGCTTACAAAGCCATAACCCTTGGATCTCCCGGTATTCTTGTCTGTGATAATAACAGCCTCAACAATCTCTCCAAATTGCTCAAAATAACGCTTCATGGTATCTCTTTGTGTTTCCCAAGCCAATCCACCAACAAAAGATTTTCGTAAAAGTCGTGTCATTGTACTGCCCTGCTCCTGGATTGTTGTTACCACCCACCATCTGGAATTGCCTTTGTTGAGACATGTAAAAAAAACCAGAGCAATCTCCCAAATAAAACAGAGGAAAATTAAAGAAAATAGCTTTAGAATCCCAACCGAGAAGAAAAAGAAAACCAGAACCACCCCAGAAGCCAAATATAGAGAGTGGTTAAAAAAAGGGTAAATGACAAATTGGAAAAAAAAGGAACTTTTTTTTCTGATGATGGTCGCATCAAATGATCAATCAAACCAAAAAGTTTTATATTTTTCTCCCGCTGGCCTTCCTCAAGCACCCGTGCAACCGTGCATCACGTTCTTTGTTTTATCGGTGATGTTTTTGTTGCTGTTGTTGTTGGTCTTTTACCTGTTGTTTTTTCTAATGTTATATTACTGCCACTTTGTTCACAACCACCATGATTTTATTTGTTTGATTAAATGGGCCTCCAAAAACGTAGGAGCCCAATTTACAGTTTTTTCTTAGTTAAAGACCCCTTTTCCTCAAAGCCGAAGAGAAACCCTACCGGAACTTGCTTTGAGAGCGGCGCTTCAAGATTTCATCTTTCAGGTAAATTCCATGTCTTCCTTTGTTTGTTTCTTCGGGAACTTGCGTCTTTCATTACTTGTCTTGGTATTGTTGTAAACCCTTGTGTTGATTGGGCTTTAATTTGATGTTGATAGCATAAACGATGTCTTCTGTTAGTGAAGCTGCTTGCTCTTATGCTGCTTTGATTCTCCATGATGATGGCATCCCCATCACCGTATCCTTTTATGAAAACAGTTTAGGGTTCTATGGTTTATGCTTTGGAATTTGTTTTTGATATCTCTAATAGGGTTATTGAAAAAAAATAGGAGTTTGATTATTTTGACGAATTTATTTGGATAGGGCATTGAAAAAAAATGAATTTTTGTATAAAGGGTGATGCAGATTTTATTTTCTCAATTAGGGTAATTTTTACAGTACTATGAGGAGATGCTAAGACCACGTGGTTTTAACTTTTAATGTCTTCTCAAAATACTGTAACATTCATCCTATTTGGAATAATAAAATTTGCACCAACCCAAATGAAAAAAAAAATTCAATGCATTATCCAAGCAAATTTGCCGATTATTTTTATTGAGGATTCTCCATTTCGATGGGGAGAAAGTTTCTCTCTTCTGTTTCCTTAACTGTTATTAATAGGCTGAGAAGATTGCCACACTAGTCAAAGCTGCAAATGTCACTGTTGAGTCTTATTGGCCAAGCTTGTTTGCTAAGCTCTTTGAGAAGTGCGACATTGAGAATCTCATAACCAATGTTGGAGCTGGTGGTGCTGCTCCGGTTGCTGCTGCTGCACCAGTTGCAGCTGCTGATGGAGGCAGTGCTGCCACCGCCTCTGCTCCTGCAGAGGAAAAGAAGAAGGTGGGACTAGAAATTAGGGATAAGTCATCTGATTTCTTTGCACCATTTTGTCTAACATGTGATTCTTTTATCATTTGCAGGAGGAGCCAGAGGAAGAGAGTGATGATGACTTGGGATTCGGTTTGTTTGATTAGGAGCAGCTTCCGGTTGATGGTTCGGTCGATTTTACGATTTAGAGCATTAAACATGAAGATAGTTACTCTTTTTGAATTTTATCAGTACTGTTATCTGTGGATTAATTAGAGTTGATTTGAATGAAGTGACAAAGAGTAGTGCTTTCCTTTTGAATTATATGTTTGAATTTTCCAATTTATACTAGTATTTCCAGTCCAACAAAAAAAGCAGTCGTTCAAGTCTTGATTAAATTTCCCGTGCTTCTGATATCCAGTTCATCCACCGAGGGTTGAAAATGCAAAGACCTGATGATATCTGTCACGGTTGCTTTAAGTTGAGATCCCACTCCATAGTTGGGCCTGCGTTGATTTGGATTTGTATCAAGTATAAAGAACCCTGTAATTGCTAATTACTCTGAAAAGATTTGACATTTTTGTATATGAAATGATAGAGAGGCCGTTGCAGTGAGATCATTTATAGTTAAATCAAGCAATTCTTGATTTTACCAGTCCCAACTAAATATAGGGGTTGATTCTAATTGAATTATGTTGAATGTATGATTAAGTATGTTGTGTTTGCGGTTCGTTCTTGAGTTGCAGTTGGTGGAATGGATAAAGGGGGGGAAATTATTGTAGAAGATGAACAGTGGATGTGAGGTTTTAGATTCTCCCTTTAGTCTTGTTTGTGTGGATATATATGTCCCTAACGTAAGGTGCTATGACATGCGGAAAAATTAAAATTTATAACCAAATAAAAGAAATGACAATTATTCTTGGGTGAATTCTCTGATATAGGGAAAACTTTGAGACTCCTTTTATTGAAGAGTGACAATCGAGATGTAATTTGTGGAGGAAGTACAATAATTGTCTCGTGATTAAGAGAGTGTCATTCCTTCTACTTAGTCAGTGTCTTAACATAATTGTTATCGATCACTTCATTAACTAAATAGATTATCTGATAGTCAAATTTATCACGACAATTCATCAATTGTTATCAACTTTAAGACTAATATCACCAACTCTATTATTTGGTGTCAAATACATATCTGACAAACAAGACTGAAAAAAGGATTTGGAATTTTACATTCATTATTCATCATCGCCTCAATATTTTTTTATACCACTGATCATGATTCTTCATTCAATTAAAAAACAAATTATCTAAAGTCATCGCATTTTACCTAAGCTATCCCACAAATGAATAAAGAAGAAAAAGCATCATTTTCAAGGAAAGAGAGTCGAATCTTACTTGAATCCAAACAATTTCAGTTAATTTTGATTTATTAGTGATTGGAATTTAGTAAAAAATTAAATTTTATTATAGATTAAAATAAAGCAATTCCAAACCTTAAAAATGAAGTGACAGAGAAATGGTTGTAGAGTGAGCAATGGATCCCGAGAGCAGTGGCCCAAAGGAAAACAAAACGAATGATGGGGTGTAACTGACGATGAAACCCCAAGTAATGAATCCTTAATTTATGTGTCGTTAAGTTTGGTGGCTTTCCTTTCTTTCCCTTGCAACTTCTTTGCCTCGTTTCCTCCGCCCCCGTTGGCCAGTATATCTTTCCTCCTCTATCTTCCTTCTTCACTTTCCTCAAAAGAAGATGGCTTTCTCTGCTGCCACTGCCAACTTTAATCCTCTCAATACCCCTTCCCTCAGATCTCATGATAACCATCTCGTAACCTCCGTCTCCCCCTCACCCTTCTTCGGATCCACCGCCAAACTCCGCCTCTCTTCTTCCCCCAAATTCAATGTCCACCGTAGATCTGGATCCGTCGTCGCCGTCTCCGAAGCTGTCAAGGAAAAGAAACCCAAGTCCACCCCCAATCTGGTAACCCTCTTTTCTCTATGTTTACTACCCGACTGCGTTTTTAGTTCCATAACAAATCTGAGTTTTTTCTCCTTATTGCTTTGTTTCAGTTAATTACGAAAGAGGAAGGATTGGAATTGTACGAAGACATGGTATTGGGACGGGCATTTGAAGATATG